ACTGCTGTTCAATGATTAATAACGTGAAAATATTTCTGGAAATAGTAAAATTATATTTGTGTAATGAAATCAGTAATTATCTACTATAACGAATAATTCATTAACGCTATAATGAATTATTCGTTATACATACCGCATAATTCATTAACGCTATAACGAATTATTCGTTATACATACCGCATAATTCGTTATAGCATTAACGAAGATTCTTATAACAAAGTCCTGATCAGCTGGATCAGCAACTTCGTTATATCGAGGTGTGACTGTAATATTATAGAAGATGAAGATTATAAATATTTATTAAATCAGGTTTAATATAAAGTTTAACAGCTAGTAAAATCCAGCAACAAAAAAACAAAAAGGTAATTTTTAATTTAAATATTATTATTTTTAATTTTAATTTATTAATAAATTAATAATTAATTTATTTGTTTAATTTAATAAGGATGAGTTTCTAAAAAAAAGAATTAAAAGTCAACTTGAAATCACTAAATTTTTAAAAGATCTGCATTAATATCATACTAATAAAATACATTACAAGAAGTTGAAATGTTAAAGAAAAAAAAAAAAGAAAACTATTTTTAAGGTTTGATTAAATATTTTTTTTATTTTTAATTTAATTTTTTTTAATTAAAAAAGAAAGACCCAAATGTAACTTTAATTTTTAAAAATTTAATTAGAAATAAAAATGGTTTGAATATACTTTTCATACTATCTTCCTCAGGTTTGTCACTTTCATTTTTCTTTTATTTTGTTATTACTATTAATAATTTTTAAAAATGAAGTAATTGTAAATTTTAATTATTTAATAGGTAGTAAATTCTTTTTGTACAGAATCCTTACCTTATTTTCTTCTATCAAAAAATTTATGATCTATTAAATAAAATCAGAAATCAAAATAGTAATTTTAGACTTAAAAAAAAATAAAAAGTGTTATATATTTATTAATTTATTTTTACATTAGGTAAACCTATTAAAGAAGACCATTACTTATTTTATGAAATTCATCATGCAGAAAAAACAATTGTATCAAAAGGAATCCAAAAGGATTATTCTATAAAAATCAATTTTGAAACACTAGAAACTCAAATAATTCAAATTAAAGATGAATTTCTTGATATTATTCATAAAAAGAGTGATAGTTATTATTGGAATATTTATAAAGAAATATGTCAAAAAAGCAGGAATGCCTATAGTCTTAATGGGCTATTTTAAAGTATTAAGAGTAAGTTTTAATTTTCTTTTTAAATTTATGGAATCTTCATATTAACTTACAGCTTATTTTAGCCTGGATATTATGGCTCAAGAGGATTAATTATAATTAGTGAAGTACTTTCAAAACTTTTTTTATTAAATAATTTGTTAATACATAGTTTAGTTTCTCCAAAAAATCCAGTAGATTTTTTGTAGGAGGTTTTGGTTCCTAAGTCTGTATTGCGTTTGATTTCTTAGGATAAAGGTAATATATCACTTGAAGAAGCTAGAAACATTGAGAAAATTTTTGGGTCGCAGATCTGCAGAAGTCTGCAGATTGATTTTTATGCACAGATCTTAAGACATAGCATCAAACTTTAGAGAAAAAATTTTATAGTTTCTATGCATGTTTTCAGTTTATTAAAATTATATGCAAAATATTATAGGATAAATCTTTAAAATTTTGTGATATTAAAATTATACGCAGAATTTTATAGAATAAATCTTTGAAATTTTCAGCTTATTAAAGTTATACGCAAGTTTTTATAATATTAATCTTTGAAATTTTGTGTTATTAAAATTATACACAGAATTTTATAGAATAGATCTTCAAAGTTTATATAATAATAATAATATCATTTTATAATATACTGTATCTGACAAAAAAACTAATATGATTAGCGCAGCGAAACTTCTAAAATTTTAGAAGTTTCAATCAAGCCTGGAAATCTAATAATATATAATATTGTTAATTGGTTATCATAACAAAAAAGCAAATCAAAGTATAGCGATTATTAACAAATTGTAGCTTACTAAGTTGTCATAATTGTCATCATCTTCCGCTATTGTTTCGCTTTCTGTAGCTTGTGATGATAATTCAGTTCATTTTTTTGTGCAGCAGCAGCTTTAGCTTCCTCTTCAGCTATCTGCTCCATAATTTCTGGCGTAAGGAGGCTATTATTTTTATATATATGCTGTTTAATATATATTTTCAAAGTTATATGTATTTTAATATGAACGAAGTATTCAGAATACAAAATACTATAAATATAGTTACCAAGAAGGCATTCACTCGTTTCACTACAGATTTATCATTACATTTTATTTCAGGACTTTTCGGGTTTAAGAGAATATCACATATGAGGCCTTTGCAATAGAAAGGGAGGAAACTCCAAAAAAATTAAAATTTTAGTTTATAAGCTAAAAATGTTCCAAATACTATAATTTGTTCAGATTTATTATTAACTTATTTTTTATTTTTTTTGTTTCCTCCCTTTCTATTGCAAAGGTCCCATATGGCGATAATATATGCGCAATGTGTTGTTGAAAGTTCCTAATTCTTGTATTGTTTAAATACCATGTAACCTATTCCTGTAAGTATTTCATTGTCATAAAAAAGCGTATTGTAAGCGTTCTTCATTTTTTCACTTGATTTCCATTTGACAATCTTGGCAGCTGATGTGTTATTATCTACGCAATCTAACTTATCTCCAAAATTAATAAACAATGTATGGTAGATACTTGCCGCGATATCATTACATTTGCTACAACATTTATTTTTAATCTAAAAATGTAAAAATATAAGAAATAATATCATAATTTTTTGAAGTTCTTTAAAGTTTTAGGATTTCAACTTACTTCTGGTAACAACTTATCTTTGAACATAGAAACCCAACTGTTTCTGCTGATACTTTCAATAAAATGGGCAGCATGTTCAGAGAGAAATTCTTCTAATGCATTACGAAATTCACTGACAGAAGGAAATAAAACATTTAGTAATAATTTCTTAACTACTTCCCTGTATGCGCGCTATAAAATCATAATAATCTTTTAAGTATCTTAAAGGTCAAAATAGTACTATTGAATATATTAAATTACTCACATTCCAAAATTCTTCTGAAAGTTCATTGAGTGCAACAAGTCTTTTCAAGGCTTTACTGTTTTCCTGTTGCTTATTACCGATATACTTATAAAGTTTGTACAATGAGGTAATTTTCGCATCAAAAAGAACCATAATAATGTCAAATTCCTCTTTTGTAAGGTTTGTCAATGACGCAGGTCCTCGTGAGGTTGTCGAAACTTTGGTAGTAATTAAACCATGATCTTTTCAAAATCTCCGAAGATATCATCAAAATAATCATTATCAAGTTCCATGTCTACAGGCTCTCGTTCAGTTGATTTTCTGCTCCTCATATCTATGTCACTTGTTAACAATTCAATTGATTTTCTCCGCTTCATGTTAACATCATTTATTGATAGGTTGGTTGACAAAGTTTCTTGGTCTTTCTCAAAAGTAGGTGTTTGTTCGCGTGAATTTCTATGCGAACCTGCTTACTCTTTTTCATTTGATTTTTTGCTACAAGTCATCATTTGTGAAAACTTATTTGTAATAGGTTTTTTCTGCATTTGCGCTGTTCCTACAGATATTTCTTCATTTTCATGTAACCTATTTTTTCCTTTTTTATTGTTTAGCATATTGAATAAAAATTATTTGGAAAATATCGTTATATATAAGTGAAGAAAGGATTAATTCAAGAAAAATTATCATTGGAGATTATCGACTTTCATGCCTTAAATATATGAAATAATGTGTTGGAGAAATTTGATGGAAAACCTCAAAAATAATCAATTAAAGTTAAAAATAATTCAAAATTAGTTAATAATATTACCTGAATTAATTAAAGTTAAAAATACTTCAAAATTATTTAAAAATATCACCTGGATCAATTAAAGTAAAAATACTTAGAAATTATTTAAAAATATCAGCTGGATCAATTAAAGTAAAAATTATTTAATATCACCTAAATCATCATAATGAATTTTTCTCAATAAATCATTGATTTATAATCAAAAATATTTCATGCATTTTAGCTCCAATGGGTAAATTTCTTTGCAAAATTTGTAAGAGAGTTTTTTCATCCTCAAGTGAATTAACACAACATGCTAATGCCGTACATCATGGTAAAACATCGCTTTCCCAAACATCAGAATCACAGCAATCAACACAAAGTCCAGAGCATAATTTGAGCTTATGGAACACGCTGATTACAAGACGACTGGAGTCAACATCGCCTTCTTTTGCAAAAAATTTCACATCACATGTTGATATAGTAGATGTAGTAGATGAAATCCACGAAAGCGAATCACAGAATTATTATACATGAAATCAAATTGAATCAGAAAATGAAAATAACATAGAAGAAAATATGGAAGAGATAGAAATAGACTTACAAACAGACATGGATCATAATTTTGACTCTGAAGATCTTTAGGAAGCATCTTTTAATGATGCTTTAGGTGCCATCAAAGGAAAAAATAGACCAGAGTATATAGTGATGTAACCAAATGATGCGTATCATGATTTTATGAAGTTAATAATAGAGGGTAATGTTTCTAATAAGATTGGTGATAAAATAATAAAATTTTTCAATAAATATAGTAATTTGAAAATCTCTCCATTGCCAAGTTCGACGAAAAATGGCAAAGATTACCTTAATCAAATCAATTCACCTTTGCTAGATTTTAAAGAAAAAGTTATTACAAGTTATAATGGAATTGATTTTACCCTTTATTATCGACCAATTTTTTATGCAATTCAGATGCTTTTACAGCATTCAGAAGTAGCCGATAAATTTGTTCATAAAGGAAACCTGAGAAAGGATGATAATGAAAGAATATTCAGAGAACTATTTGAGTGTGACTGGTGGCTGGAAATGGAGAAAACTCTTCCACCTTTAAATCGCCTGTTGTCTATTATTTTGTATTCAGATGCAACGACCTTTGATGAACTTAGAAAAACATCTGGACACCCAGTATTTTTAATGCTTGAAAACCTTCTGAATTGGTTTTGAAACCTACCAGAAGCCAAAGTTCTTTTAGGGTTCTTGCCTAAGGTACAGGATTCAGGAATCAAAACTTCTGAATCATTTAGAATTTTACAATGTAAAATATTCCATAAATGTTTCAATATCATGCTTCGACCACTGTTAGAGAAATCTGATGGGCTATATTTCAGAGTTAAAGGACAGCCTATGTGTTTTGCGGCTCATATATCATTTTTTCTTTCAGATATGCTTGAAGCAAATGAAATAACGGTAACATACAAGTCAGCCTGAAGTAAAATGCCATATCATACTTGTATGGTCTCACGAAATGACCTAAATAACATGAGTATCACATTAGATAATATGCCTCTTAGAACTCATGAAAACATGCAGGAAGTTATATGAAAAGGCTAAGAAAAGGACTTTTTTGTGCATTCTGTTGAAAACGCATTTTGGAAATTTTCATAAATATCACCTTTTAATAAAATATTTGCATATTTAAATCAATTAAATTGAACTTCGATAAAATTTTGCAGAAATTTGAATATTTACGAAGCCTGTGTTTCTGATCAGATGCATCATATCAATCTTGGGCTCTTTAAATACCAACTAGAATTTACACAGGATATTCTAAAAAAGTCGGAGGAACAGAGTTACAGAAAGTTTTTGATGATCGTCTTTGTAATATTTCTCATTTTCCTGGTCTCAAACTGATAAGTAAACTAGGTCATTTAAAAATGGCTATGGTGTAGGTCATCTAAAAGGCAAACAGTCTGAATTTTTTTTGTCGATCACAGACCCGTCACGTGATCTTTATCTAATTAAAAATCATCGCGTAAATTAAAATTGTCACATGATTAAATATTAAATTATTAATTTATCGAGTTTTAATTTATTAAATTTTTTGTATTAAAATAAATGAAATTTATTAATTTATTTTATTTAATTCCTCTAATACATTTTCAGGAATTTTTCTATGTGATTTGTATTTTTTAACAGCATATTCTGCTAATTTACCTGTAATTCCATACCTATATAAATCCATATATCGCCATGTTTTTCTTGCAAATCTACGAATAGTTGTTAAATCTACAGAATCTAAGACACAAGAAACTATTTTTGTAATCCACTCTATGTGTAATCATAATTATTTTGTGTATGTCATTTTGCTGCTCCCTAATAGTATTCAATAAAGTTCAATTCACAATGAAACTTTGGAAAAAATATACAAACATGATCAGCATTTTCAATTATTTCAACTAATGCAGATTTTTGAGCTAAAAAATCTGGTTGAAGAGATAAAATCTGTCTTTTACAGCAATCTACACGTAAAGGATCATCATTTTTGTTTTTATATAACTTACATTTTCCTATCATATTTTTTTTCCATAATCCTTGTTCAATCAAAACTTGTTTTACACCTTTTGATCGACCATCAGGAAAATTCATACTTTGTCTTTCATTATTTGGACCCCAAAAGGTATCATGCATTTTAGGTGCATTTCCACTAGGTCCGATATTCATCCTCTTTACAACCAATACATCAGAAGCAAATGCAGAATGATTTGAACTATTATCAAAAGCAAATACTCTAATACAATTTGGAAATAAAGCCTCAAATATAGGAATGGCTTTATATTCAACCTGTTTAATAAGATGTTTAGCTGTCCAATATCCTTCATCATTCTTTCCTGGTTTTAAATATACTCATACTTCTTCTGAAACATCAGGATAATTCTCAATTTGCTCAGCAGTTAGTTTAAGTCTTCCACAAGCTTCAGTTAAAAAT